GACAGGATTAAGGCCGCTTTCGCTGCTGCCGCTGTTGATGCAGCGGATACCTCTTATCGTAATGGTTTGGATAGTTCGAAGACACTCCTATATAACTTGGTCAGATCCGACTGGAGCCCGGGCGCCCAGAATTATCCATGTGTGCGAATATGACCCCATGGTCTAGTCGCAATTAATAGAAAACACGAGCCTTGTTGACCAACAACCGAATCCACCGACCAGCGTATCCTGTTGCGAAGGATTAAGCAGGGGAGTATATGTAAAAGTGTCTGCTCATCAACTCCATGAAGATTGGAGTTAGTCTAAAAAGGGGCAGATTTCAGTCAACTGAGAAATTCCACTAGCAGGACTGCTCGAAGCGACGTCTCATAGATTCAAGGGGCTTGCAACACTGGAGAGACGTTTTGGGTGTATTCTGCTCCTCCGAATTTGGCACTGCATTCAGTGAATAAATTATTACAAGCCACAATTTTTTGTGTGTATATTTTCAAAAATTTGATATAGGTGATACGTGTTTGAGAGAATAAATCTTTTCAGATGGAACACCTCAGAAGTCGATCCGTAATTTCATGCCAACTGCTTAGCATGCTGAGCTCAACTGTCCAGTTCAACAGAGGTCAACAAATCCATATTTGCAAAAACGTCGACATTACACATATCACAATTCTGACTACGTACTTAGTTAGCTTAACATTAAGAACCAGTGGTATATCTGACTATGAATAACAAACGGTAGCCTGAAGTTCTGTAGTTGCTTATATATGACAATTACAGCCTCTGGCTTGCTCATTTAGATTTTATCGTACTTCGCAGAAAACCGACATAGAATATTCATTTCTTCAATCATTTGGCGGATGAATACGTCTTTTTCAAATTCTATACTTGAAAGGAGGGTATATTCGGTCTTAAAGAATTTTTCAGCCCAAAGTCCCGTTACGCCTGCCTTTACTGCTTCCGAACTATAAGATATATAGAAAATCATACTCTTCAATATGCCATTAAAAGGAGACCAAATGGGACTCAGAAAAGTCAGCAGTGGATTTGAGTCGCATTCTAGGCTTTACATGCAACATCAGTAAATCCGGAAGCACAATGGTTGATGTACAGGCATTTCACGATCTTAAAACTTCCTAAAAGTGTCGCGGCAAAGAATGGCGGTAAATGGTCGTCTTGGCAGTCGTCTATTTGCTCTTCTCTCCGCAGAACGGCGCTGCGAGTAATCGTTGTTTGGGTACTTTGACTAAACACAGTGCATAATTTCATCTGCTCGATTTTATAATTTTCCGACCAGTTCACAACTGTCTAGGCAGCAACCTCATTTTATTCCCCTCGAGAGATTCCAGGTATGATATTTCCTAAAATGTGACTTACATCCAGAGTTAGGTGCAGCGGGGTGAGCCACGAATACAGCCCTAACTCAGCTGTCCTAATTTGCACCATATGCTCACATGTGACTAGTATGCCTCAACCGTCGTTTGTCGAGCTGGCATAATGATTGGGCTAACGTAGCCTGGTTACACACAGTTTACACCGTATTGAAGGTTGCCCCATCTTTTCATGAGATGCAGGTAATGTTGGAGAAATTTCCGTCGGATCGCTTGGGATGCGTAGTAAACTTTGTCGTTCGACAGCTTGGCGTCCCCTAGTTAACAATCACAGATAATTTAATTGCTTCTTGTGAAATCGCATTTATAATTTTAATTCGGTTTTGAAAAAAACCTTGCTTAAACCCATGTAAATTTTAATCTGACCTTTCCTTACACATGCATTCGGAGTTTCCAAACCACAAGTTGAATAGTTCCCCTTATGGATACTCAATCCGTTCTACACGCCAATATAAGAGACTATATTGATTCACAAACATCAGCAGTGAAGTTGAGTCATATTGTAGGCTATACAAGCAACATTAGTACATGCAGAAACAGGATGCCTTAGGAAAGGGCATTTCACGATCTCAAAGGGTTCACTGGCAAAAGGCAAGAAGTCACAGTAAACGGTCGATTTGTAGAGGCCTCCACTTTTTGTCGTAGTTTTCTTCGAGCCGTTTGCATAGAATGTCACGTGCCTAATTTGGTGTGATAGATGTGAATAGCTAAACCGCGTCGAAGGGTCCCATAATGCCATCAGCTCGGACAGATTTTCCCCGGGTGGCAGCCAGTTCACGAAAAAGAATGGCAGTAAGTGGTCGTCGTGGCAGTCGTGGTCATGGTATCTTTTGATGTCACGTCCCTCTTTACTTCTATCACCCAGGATTCGGCAATCGAGACCGTCGAGCTACTCCTACGAAGCAAATACAATGAAACGACGAATCGTCTCGGACATGCCCAAGTCCTTCAGTTCCTAAAGTTCTGTGTCAGGGCATACTTCACGTTTGACGGAACAATGTACGAGCAAGTGAAGGGAACACCAATGGGCTCGCCGATTTCGGGATTCATCGCCGAGGCGGTCCTAAAGCGGTTGGAGTCGCTGGCCTTCCAACACCACACACTGAAATTCTGGGCTCGGTATGTGGACGATACCTTCGTCGTCATCGAACGGTATCAGGTGCTAACGTTCAAAGAACATCTCAGCAGCGTTTTCCCGGACGTACAATTTACGATGGAGGAAGAAGAAAATAGCCAGCTGGCATGCCCTGATGTCCTCTTCAGCCGCACAGATTGTGGTGGCCTAAAGACCAAATTGTTAAGGAAAGCGACGAACACGACGCAAATACTGAACTTCAACAGTAACCACCCAATCAGCCACAAAGGCAGTTTCGTAAGAAAGCTATATCGGCGTGTTGAGACACACTGCAGTGAACCGGAAGACAAGGTTGCCGAATCCCAATATCTTCGACGGGTTTTCGGAGAAAATGGTTACCCGCGCAACTTCGTCAACCGGTGTATGCGCAAACGAAACGAGAGACAGAACCGTGCCGACCCCAAATTCTGGCGAGCGATCCCGTACATCAAGAACGTCTCCGAGGCCGTTAGCCGCCTTCTTGCACCACTTGGGGTTGGAGGTGCACACAGACCGGAGGCCACCATGAGGCGTCAGGTGATGAGACCAAAAGACCGACTGCCACGGCAAGAAACATCTGGAGTCGTTTACCGGATCTGGTGCAGTTGCGGACAAAGCAACTAAGCCGGACAAACTGGAAGATTGCTCCGAACGCGAATTGACGAACACGCTGCAGCGGTACGGAGAAATGACGCCAACTCTCAGGTCGCGGTCCATTTGACGAGACCCGGCCACACATTCAAGTTCGATGGGGCCGAAATTCTCGCGAGAGGGGATAATCGCGTGAGCCGCGAGTTGCTTGAGTCATGGTTAACGGGACGTCAGTCTATCAACAAGTGCAACGTCATCCCCACTCCATATTCCTTGCTGAGGCATAGACTGGCCAAAGCAATTGACCACTCGAGGAGCGCGCTAGCACGTGAGCCAGATGGCCGAGCAATCATCTCGCCAGCATCCAACACGGGTGATGAGATGTCAGCAATTAACAACTTGCATGCCGGCCACCAAGCCATTAGCGCACCGGGGGGCAGCCTTCTATGATGAAGGGGAGCGCGGTTAATTGCTAGAGGTATGCGGTAGCATAGCGACTGCATCCTATAAATACTGCGATTTCCTGTGCACGAGTCACCCTTTTCTACCACTGTCTCTGATGATGGATTCAAGTGAGAATCCGAAACGTCAGGCGAATAAAACCCTTATTCCAGCGATCGCTTCTTCTTCTACCCTAATTTTTGTTCTCATAGACTCCAACACAACATTAAACAGACATGTCTGAGGATTCCTAATTAATAAATGATTTCATACCCTGTAGATTACAAATGTAACACACATTACGAGCCTTCGTGGAGCCTACCGAGTTTTAAAGGAGAAAGCGAACGCGCGACCACCGGGACAATACATTCATTAGGCCCAACCCTTGTTCTCGTACAGTAGACCATCTTCAGAGGCTTCGAAATGCAGCACTGAAAGAGAAGTTTTCATAGCGGAACACAAACGGAGGGGATAGGCGTAAAGGGTGATGGTGTTGGTGTTCTATACTACTGGCTGCATGTTGGCGGTTTGTGAATATTAAGCGGTTATTCCGCAGTAGCTGATGGACTTCAGCTCACATATTCATATCAGACTTTGGACCGTGCCTGGAAAGGCCCGTTTCGAAAGATTTACTCCAAGTTCTCGCATTAATTTCCTCGGAAATTAAACAAGGTGATTATGTTCTCGATGAGGCTGAGGTCACGGCTTCGGGCGGTGTACATTCTTGTCTGGGTATTGGGTCGAATGTCGTGGCCACGAGAACGAAGCGCGTGGTAGCATGTTGACAGATCAACGTGTATGATGATAGAGTTGGTTTCGGATACTCAGACCTCCAGCAGTCCTCGCGTCGTCGTTTTGCTGCCTTGCCTACTATCCGCGTGCTCGCGAAGTTGAATTCGAGGCCTTCTTCCAGGGTGTTGGTAGACATCTTAGACAGTGTGTCGTCCCTCCGGACTGTCCGTTTGTGCTCTCTTCTTCCCCTTTGAAATGAATGTCGGGGAAACTGCGGTATCACAGTGCTGCGTCTGAGTTGGTCCAGGATTCCGTTTAGCTGACCGAGTATCGATTTGGCTTGTAAGCAAGGTGTGGGTTAGTGAGAGGGCTTCTGCCTTCCCGCTGTAATCGACGCAGTACACCAGGACAGTGGTTCTTCTCTAGTCAACCGGCAGCACTATCATATCCTTGTCCAAACGTTATTCCTTCACTGCTTCTTTTTTCACGGGCGAAATATTATTGGTGGACCTATTCGTCACTGGTATTGAGATGGCTTCCTCGCTCAAGGTGTGTTTTAACTCATCGGTTGCGTTGTTAGACGTAGGTGGCAGTCACTGATCGACACCCTTGTTATTTGCTTGTGAAAACGCTTCGCAACCCTCACTGGTGTTTTGTAAGCTACGCCGAATCCTCGTGGCGTTGAAACCCTATAATTTCACCAGACGTTGGCTTACTGTTTTTAAATAACTCAGAGTAAATAGAGAGCTAGCCTGAAGACAGTACTCACAAACTGTTTGTCACTTTAAGCGGATATGCTCGATGACTACTGAATGTCATTGATGTTTGACGAGAATGTTAGCTCGCAATTCGAGCATAATATGCAGACATCAAATCATACATTCGCCCAAAATGTCCAAAACTAGAAATTTGGAAGGGCGCAAACGACGTACTTCCCGTCTATCTGGCACGCATTTTTAGAATAAAAGGCATTATGCATTTGAGATAACCCTAATGGACCAATCGCAATAAGCGTCTTCAACAGAACAGTCAGCGCCTGGTTCATGGATTGAGCGTTCGACTCAATGACTGACGATCCTGCCTTGGAATCTCAGGTGGTCCACACCGGAGATTTGATATGGCTGGCTTACAACAGTTAATGAGCTCGAAATGGTCATTGCAGTCTCCCTTGTCTTTGTCGGAAATGACGTTCTGCATATGTGTACATATATATTTACATCGGCTCCTGAATCCCACTTACTGGTCTAGGGATGTGCAACTAACAACATCAGCAATCCACAGAACCGGGGTGGTCTTTTCATTGTGTCAACAGTCGGACTGCGGGCGCATCCACGGCAGACAATTATGTAACAGTTGTTATCCATAAACAGAAGGAGATTTAATCGCTAGAACAAGAAGTTTATTGGCCTGACTTTTCGGATTCTCACTCGAACCCATTATTTGCAGCAGTCTCTGATGATGGGTTCGTGTAAGAATTCGAAATATCAGGCCAATAAACATCTTGGTCCAGTGATATCATCATCATCACCTTCTTCTTCTTATAGGGTACTGCCTCCTTCAACTCAGATGTTCCCTCCATCGGCAGTCTCCATCCATCCCTGAATTCTGGAAGTGTCCGCCTCAACGGGGTCTGATTTGTTTGCTTTCTGTTCAACTTGATCTTCATATTTGTTTCGTCGAACGCTCAGATCATTCTTTATTTATTTGGACAGTAGGACTTATGACCAAATACAGTATAATTGTTAGGGAAAAGAGCGATTATCACACGACACCAGGCGACACAAATCTTGGAAAAGTGGAATAAAGCGTATAGGGAAGCAACTCAGATGAAGACAGAGACTAAGGATATCTGAAGTACAGGTCAAGGCTGCGCAGTTCTGTAACCACAGACTGCTTTCAGATGCTGTTTGACTGCCAACGGTGCTAAATATGACAAGACACTGGGTGTTTGCATACAGTATTCGGCCACTAGGATTTGACATCAATCACCTCTCATAGATGTTTGATGCCCTTAAAAATTCAATTATATTTCATGGAAACATGCACAAACATTTTGCTCATTTAGTAAAACATTATGTGTTCTGGCAACTGTTTACTCGAAAGAAGGGTAGAATTCGGTTTTCAAAAACTTTTTCAATTCAGTAATAACTGAATACGACGTGCCGGTACACTTCCATCCAGGGTTTCCAACCCTCAAGCTGTATATTTTCCGCGTATGTAAAACCATACATGTCGCTACGGTATTGAGAGGAGACCATATGGGGTTCATAAAATTTAGCAGTGTATTAGAGACATATTGTTAGCTTTAAAAGCCACATTGGCAAATGCAGAGACATAACGCTTTATAAACAGCAATTTCATGGTAGTAAAAATCCCACAATTAGAAACTTTTTGAAAACCAACTTAAACCCTTTCTTAGACTATAAATTTAGAAGGAGACGTAAATTGCTACCGAATGAGTAAATGAATAAATACGCTTGTTCATTTTTTTATAAAATATAATTTGAATGTTTAAGGGCATCCTAAAAGCCATGAGAAAAATGCATGATATATATGCAGTCATTTTTTACAGCTGGAAAGAAGTTTGTTCAAATGTATTATTATAGCGCTATGCTGCATGACGATTTGTTTTACATCACTATTTAATTAATCTTTTCAAAATGAAAACTCATTTCGGAATTTTGGTTGGCATTTCATAATTTAGCCCACCTACTGTATATTATGACAGATGAACACTCATCGATCAGGGAATAGAGCGATTATCAGTGGTCCTCAGTTGAGCGTGACTTTGAATAAACTGAATTAATTGCCAATAATATAGACTCAGGTAACGGCAGTCTGAAGGCTGAGGACACCTGAAAAACAGCTTGAGACCTCGCGGCTATACAACTACAGACAGCTTTCTGATGCTTTTTGACTGCAAACGGTTTTAAGCCTGAGAAGACACTGGGATATTGGCATATAGTCAGTGGTATAATCTAACAGAATTTGGCATCGATCACCTTTGACGGATTATTACAACGGGAGTAGCATGTAAATCGCCGATCATATTTGGAAGCGCTCAGTCTGCAAATGCTGATACATGTGGTGTGTCGTTAGAATACTGTCCACTTCGATTCCTTGGACAAAGAGCTCAAAACACATATCAGCTAGACTATTCTCCCCTGGTGTAATTTAATCTACGCCTCACTCACCGTTTATTGACGTTTTCCACAATGATATTGGAACGTAAAATAAAATCCAAACGCCTCGACAGCCGTAGAGGAAAGATCATTGATAATTGAATACCGACGAGGAAAAGGGGGAAGCGAATAGTCATAATCAACCGTCATCAGTATGTCAAACCGGAACTCAGGTGTGAGATTAGAAACAGGGGTCCGTAGTCGTTGAGCGTAACAGTCGGCCACTGAGCTACGTCTATGTCGTCCTCAAAATAAGACACTGTGAGTAAGAGGCTGAGGCTGCAGAGTCAGTCCATAGGAATACCTAAGCCCTCCCAGTATTCAAGAACGTGGTGAAATTCTCAATTTGACAAGGCCATCCTTGTACATTGGGCTAATCTTGACCATCATACGGAACTCGAAGTTCGCCTCAAGTTCTATATCCAAAAGCGCAAAAAATGAAGTCTACTATCAGCGACTGAGTGACCGAAATCGTCATAGATGAGTTGGTTCTGTACGCACAAACGTATGCTGAATGGGCGTTGCATTAATAACAGCCATAAACCAAGTAATCTGGTGAATGCCTTCAGCATTCCACATCTTGGTCCAAGTAATCTCCGCTGCAGCCCTATCCTCATGCACAATGTCCATACTTTGCTAAATGGACAATTCTGATTGCATATAAGTATCCACATAGATTACCCACCCCTGGGGCAGAGTTTAACTGAATCCCCAGTCAGGGGCTTCTCCGACCCATGAACTACGATAAGGCAGTAAGCGGTCATTCAGTTGTGGCAACTTCATGTGCGTTTACGGTGCATACCAGTGCATTCGATAAAGGATGGTTTTATGCCTTAAGTTGGGTCTCATTAATCTGGATGTCGCGCATGCGGCGGTAAGTATCATACCCTAAGCTTCCTTTGAAAACCAAAATGTGACAACTGTTTAGCAGACGATTACTATATTATTGATCATTAATTTATTTGCTTCAGAGAATATCTGAGCTCACGGAGTAAACGGGTGCGGCCAGTGGGTTTTTGAATTTGAGCCGCCATTTTTGTAGCTCTCAATTCGGGTGTGGATTTTTATTAATTGTACATCACTGTGCCTATTTCCCTTCGATATATTGGACTGCTCTGTATCGCTTGTTTGTCATAACCAAGATTATGAGGTCGTCTCTACAGTACGCTAACACTCTTTTGAGGGGAAATAAATCGTCAATTTCACTAACGAATGTCCATGATGCAAACTGGTGCACTTTTCGGCCAATATGTCGTATTTGCGATCGTTCTGTATTAAATTTATCACATTTGCATCAACAACGGCCTATGCATCGGAAAAAACACCTCTGTGGCTGGCAACTCGCAAACGTCAGCCAAAGTACAAATTGTTTATTCCTGTTGTCTTGTCGACAAATTGCCGTTCTATTTTCAGCAAAGCCCACAATTTGTAGCTACTTTTGTCGAAAAAAGAAGGCAGCAGAACTGATGGGGTTAGCCTCCAAAAGACAAGGTTAAATGGTGACATTGATTCGCAACTTATTACACCTCCATATTTCATCTGCTTTCCAACGGATAGAACATCTTTAGCTTGTGGCAGAGGTGGAGGCGTTGCCATTATTGTTTATCAAAATTGGTGTAGAGACTGTAAGTCCCTATTTTCTTATTCTGCTGATTTGATAGATGCCATCGATGTTCTATGTATGCCTCGTAAATTAAGTAATTTTAAAGCCATTGTGATTATTAGTATTTAAATTCTCCCCTCTTTCTGTGAAGGTGCACTAACCCGTTTCTGTTGAATTTCTTTCATAAAAAACTTGCTATATTATCCTGCATATATCTTATTATCTTATGCGGTGATTTTAATCGCGTAAATTTACGTCCCCTCACATTTTTAGGATGCGATGATCTTGTCCCATTTAATACTCGCGCAGATGCCCCTCTTGATAATTTACTGACAAAAAACAGCAAGGATTTTGCAGTAAAAATAGGGCTTCATTGTCAGATTCTAATCATTCCACTTTATTGTGTCTTCCAAAAATCTATTACGCTTTTAAACTTGCACTGCTAGCCAAGCCTGAGTAAAAGTTCAGTTTCGCAACACATCCACACAAAACCTTCTCCTGCTTCAGTCTAACATTTCCTATACTATCCCCACTTTCCTTGAACAATTGAATGTCGAATCCTGTTCTTCCAACCTAACAGCGTTTTAAATAAAATTTGTGATATTTGTTGCACTCTTGATACTGTAATGGGACGACCAGATATAATTTCTTCCACTATCTGAAATAGTTTAGACGTAAAAAGTACTACTTTACAAGCTAGGCTTACGTGACAGCCTTAAGGATGTTATCGTCTTAATAAAGACGGAGATTGACAGGCTAAATAACCTGCTCGTTGGTCAGCTTTTTACCTCTTCTTCCTCCCCCCCTTTTCCCACTTCCTCTGCTGATATTTGGAAGAACCTTGAGCGTCTCTTTGGCCATCGCAACATACTGGTATATGTGGATGTTGATTTAGACCCCTTCAAGGAAAATTTTATATTTTGTCCCAATGACTTAAATCTTCCTTCAGATGACATTTCCCTATCACCATGTGCCTTCCAACCCGTGTCTGTGGCAACAAAGGAGAAACACCTTAAAAAGTTTCGTTGATCAACAGCTGCCGGACCGGATGGTGTCTAGGCCTTTTCTTCTTAATTCTTCTAGTTCTCATATAGTCTCTATTTTGACGCACCTAATTAATACGTCTTTCATAGAGTGCAACATTTTCCGACGCCTGACGTACAGTGAAAATCCCTCCCATCCCTAAAAAACCCGCTAATTGTGGTCCTAAATCTTTTTGTACAATTGCCTGCTCCTCCGCACTACTAAAACTTGCTGAAAGAGTTGCCCTAAATATTATAAAGCCTTTTTTCCGGGTTTTTCGACCATTTACAATTTGCATACAAAGCCAAACGCAGTACTTTGGATGTTGTTGCTCTTGTGGTCCACTCTGCTCTAAAAGAATTAGACTAGGGTTGCCGCGAGTACGCATGCACTTTTCTTGACTACTCCTCCGCCTTTAATACAGTCCCGCGCCCTCTTCTCCTTACCAAAACATCTGCGTGTGGCTCTCCAGGCTGGGTCGTCTCTTGGCTTAGCGATTATTTTACTTCCCGCAATCCATTTGTCCAATCTGGCAACCGGCAATCTACGATCCTTCCCAATGACTGTGGTATTCTTCAAGGTTCCATTCTATACCCTCACTTATTCTCTCTCCACACCGACGATCTAAGGTTTCCTAATGACTATCTTTTGGTTACGTATGCTGATGATGTGGTTGTTGGACACCCCCACAAAAGTCAAACACACCTCCAGTCTCTAAAGAATGGCCTAAACCATGTCCTAGTATGGTCGGGGAAAAATTGTCACCTGCTGAACAACCAAAAATCAGTTTAGTGTATTTTCCGATTGCGGTACTCTCCTAGTCCTGAACCCTCTGACATCCTTCCTAACGAGGTTTCTTCTTTCAAATATCTCGGCGTTATTTTGTCCTGGAATCTTTCATTTTCCCTCCATATTGAGTCCTTTTTTACTTAAGTCTGTAAACTTCTTTATTACATACGTCGTTTACGTTCCTACCACACACCTCAACTCCTAGTCTGGCGATTCATCGATGCCTTCATTCTTTCTCTTATCCTATACTGCTCTCCTGTCATTTTTTCTGCATTGCTTAAAAAATATTTTTTAATTTTGAAACGAGTCCTTTGCATGTTCTCTTCTGCCGCTGGTGTTTCTTATCTTTTTTAGTCGACACTATCTTACAACGACATTTAAATACGGTCAAGCAATTATAGATGACGTTGCCCATACCTCGCATTCTGATCTTGTTTCTGCGAAGTCTTCCTCCCCGATGCGCCGCAGCTTCTGACTTACGTCTTGTATTGCCATTCTTGGCGCGCTATCTTACGTGCAAAGAAATAGAAGTACATAAGCAAAGACTTGAACTATCCTCATCATATTTGTTTCTTTTGTGTTACACTTTGACTCTTGATTAATCTATTAACTTAATTTTTCCCATAGTGAATGGTGTAAATTGTTTGCTGAAAATTTTGAATTTATAATTTCAAAATAAAGCAACCTCCTCTCTCTCAGGTGGCAACTGTGACACTACCTGAACTTCATGCACGCATGTGGTGAAGGGTCCTAATGCTGAAGGTACGCATTTTCATCCACGACTCACTCTCAGCGCCCATTCTTTCCTAACTAGATGATACTGACTGTATACGACTATCATAACAGAGTACCCACTTCTAGGACAAAGCCTAAGACGAGTCCTTATGTTGCAGCAGTCAGGGGTCTCTCCAGCCAATAAGTTACGGCAAAACAGTAAGTGGTCATGCAATTGTGGAAGCTTCATGCGAGTTTACGGCGCGTACCAGAGCGTTCGATGAAGAATAGTTCTCATTTCTCTAGTTGGGTCACCTGAATCCGGATATCCTGAATGCAGCAGTAAGTATCACACCCTAAGCTCGCTCCGCGAACCAAAATGCGACAAATAGTGAGCAGATGGATTCTAGGTTAACTGCCTCTAATTGATCTGCTTTTGAGATTATGTGAGCTCACGGAGTAAACATGCGCACTCCATTTGACCTGAAGCCACTCAAAACGCCCTTCGTGGCGATGTTGGCGCAACCTGCACTCGACGCCCGCACGTGGTGCACGTTCCTGATTTTGGAAATGTGTGTGCATATATAAAGCCATTTAGACGCAACAGGCCCCCAGACAGCTCATATTTAATATCAAGTGAGATATTGCCCTATAGTATTCATCTATGGAAGCCCATAATTTTTTAACTTTAATAGTTCTCTTCACCATGCAATATGCGCATACGTTTGTTTTAGTGTCAATGTTCAGAGCCGTTATCCTCCTTGCTCTTCTTGCATCTGTGTTCGGTATGTGCAGAATTAAAATTAGCTTTACGTCTTGCTTACCACACGGAGTTATTGAATAAACTTTGATCTTTGTCGTAAGTACCTTGCGTTATTTTCTAGGAACCGAGGACTTTGACACAGCGCCGAATTCAAACTTTGTTAATATACAGCCTTTTCCACAAAGACCGCAGGTGCGTCCTAGTTGAAATCACATTTCTAGTAAAGGGTCTACTAGTGCAGGCAATGACATTTTTCTTTTATTATAGTCAATTACCATAGGGGGTCAGACTGTTCCAGAGGGCTCTCTATCCAATCCCTGTGAAGTCGGAATTTCGTGTTGGCAACCGTTAACTGGTAGGCTAGTGCTAGTGCTGATTACTGTATGGAAACCGCCAGAGTTTAATTAAGATATTAATTTTCTCGTTGAAACAGACGGTTGCATGAAACTCATCACGTTCTATCAAATATTAATCAGAGTACTATTCTTGTCTTTTAGACAAACAGTTTTCATATCTTTCGGCAAGACCAGTGAATGGGACAGGCATAATTATTCTAGTTCCAGCCGCCGGAATTAGACTGTCCACTGCAGTGATTGTCAGACACATTGGTGAAAATCTGCAGGGTACATTTCACATTTTTCTAATTTGCCAACTCAAATGCAAGGAGTAACACTGTCAAATTATTTATGTGTGTTTTCAACAATATTAACATTTCAGCAGTAAAAATATAAAATTAAACAATAATTGATACCATGAGAGCCTGGCATTTGTGTATATAGCCTGATGCACCATAATCTTCTTCACATTCATTGGCTGGACAAACGGTGGAAAACTGTACCTGACTCAAAAGCATTATCCGCAACCGTAAACTGACAACTGACATCCACTGACTTCACGAATGGTGGACAATTGAACCTGACTCAAATGAAATAGGCTATGTTGAACTGACGACAATAGCAAAGTCAGTAACGACCATTTTCATCTTGCTTGGTTTTCATGCGTACAGCAGATATGCTGTCTCATGAAATATCTACCAATAATCTGAAAGGCGTTTCCAGTTTGAAAGGATTACTTAAGCAGTATTGGGGCATTTATTATCCTGCCGAATAATCCTTAAATATTCCAGTCACGCCACCATTCCGGCTTTTAATTGAGCTTCGTAATGACCGCCCTCATACAGTATGGTCCGCTCAAAAGGGAACATTTAGGCAATATGCATTTTGTCTTAGAGTTTGATGCCCTTATGAATTCAAATGGATTTCTGAAGAAGCCGTCACAAAATTATCTTTCTTTTTGCTCATTTCTTTAAATTGTTTGCTTAAAAATTTTATGTCCGGTTTCAAAAAAACATTTTTATCCCTGCATGATTTTAAACCCGACCTGCCGTTACATTTGAATTCAGGATTTCCAAAGTGCCGGCTATATGCTCTCATTGTAAGAGAATAATTAATATAGGTCCCGTAGACTTGTGTAATTGACGTCGACTGTGTAGTTTATTTTTAATATAAACACTAAGAAACGTGCTGGCTTGATGGTGTATGATTGAAGATTTTGCGGTTTCAAGAACGCATCTATTGTAAGTCAAATTCGAAAAGAGCGCAAGTGTTCGTTAAATAGATTAGGTTAACTTAATGATTGCCATTCTAAATCCTGAATACGACCGTAAATCCAAAACTTATAATTTTTTAAAACTAAAATATATTAAGCACTATTATCTATGCAGCCCCAACCTTGCCAGTCGTCGTTGGAAAGATCGTAAACCTTGACATAAACACCACAGCAGAACGCGAATTCATTCTTCTTTACTCCGAGGACGTTAAGGTCTGTAAAGACTTTTTTATGAATTAACATCTAATTTCGGTATTTCCATTGGGTCGCTCAATATTTACACGGTCTGTTTTGCATATCTCGGGGTTTTATAGGACACCATTTTTGGAGGAAATATACACAAATTTAATGAAGCGGGACCGCCGATTGGCAAAAATGTATTGCATATTCCATACCGTAAGTGACGCTTGTAACCATGCAAAATATTCAGTCATAAAGGACGCTCTTTTTCATGTAATTTTATCGCATTACACGGGTGCGCAAGAATTCATCTTTTCGGCTATTTGGTAAATCGAACAGTGTGCGTTCTACCTCGGGTGAGTTTGGTTACCGAGAATGCCGAATTAGCCGAATATTTTGAGAGTAACATTGAACAAAAGCACCGAACCAACCTTGGGAAAATAGAATGTAACATGCCAACTAGGTTAGGAAAAAGTATTTTATTCACTTAAGCACAAACTAACCGCCAGTGCCAAGCTCATGAGAGAAGTTAATATTTGTCCGCAAATGCCTGGCATGATGTTTCTAATTGAAACATGTGGTTGATACGTTCATTTGCATTTGCGGATTGCATTGTAAACTTGCTCAATAAGGCATATATTACGAAATGTTTCTATAGCAACAATAAATCGTATTATTTCTCACACTGACAGTTGACGAAACGGTCAAGGGACATGTCTTTGCCCTACTTACGGGACACCTGGACAATACAACTTTGGAATACACATTCAAACTTAACGCAAGTACCTCTGACCTGGTTAGGATGGTGCCAGCTGAAGGACGGTATCCACCGAGAGTCGTCCGTGTTTCCTTCAGCGGAGAGCCGCCTCTTCGCCTCTGCAAAATCCTAATATTCGCCTACTCAGTAATCTCGTTTTTGGCCGCCGTTTGAAGGAATTTTTTTTGAAAAAAACAATAAAAGTCTAATGGTCAGCGTTTGTTCTATTGATTCTGCATAGTTTCATTTGTAAGAAAAAACAAACCACCGGTTAGAGCATGCACTTATTACAAATATATGCGTTCCTCCTTATCCAAACGGTTCCACAGCATGACAATGAACGGTTCGTCGTGGATGGAGTAAAATATCGGTTGGACATTCGATGTCGCTTTTTCATATATTGACGATTTTTAGTTATTTCGTACATTTAGCCTCGGCAGAGGATGAAAAAAAAGGCAAACCGTTAGTGAAATGCAACGGAAATATCATATAGAAGAAGGAAAACAATCACGTTACTTTTTCGACTAGGTCTCATGCCTTGGGGGATCCACGTAGCGCCTAAGTGAAATACGTGAGCTCACTCATAAAATGTCAACCGAAATTTCGAAATGCGTCTTCGTTCCGAAAAGATTAATTAAATAGAGTTGTTAAACTAGTCGGCCTGCAATATAATATCTCAGTTACCTCAGTATGCCGGCTTTTGAACAGACTTCCTTCCTGCTGCATGCAAAAATTACACTGCGTAAAAATGACTACTTTAGTAGCATGGACTTCTCTCGTTGATGTTCGTTGACCCAAAAAATCTTATTATATTAGATGGAAAACATGCATAAAAATATTCATTCATTTGCTCATTCGGTAGGAAATGACGTCTTCTTCCAAAGTTATTCTTGAAGGAAGTGTATAATGCGGTTTTCAAAAAGTGTCTAATTATGAGAATTTTGGATACCGTGAGATGGCTGCACATAAAACGCCTTTTCTCTGAATTTACCAATGTGGCTTGTGAGGTTTACAATAGGACTTAAATTCACTGTTATAATTATATGAAACCTATATGGTTTCCTCTTTATACTGTAGAGAAATTGATTTTTTTAATACGCAGACAATATATGGTTTGTAGTTTGTAAACCTTGGATACAAGCGTAACTGCACGTTGAGTTTAAAATTATTCAGGAATAGGAAACATTTTTAAACCAGAAGTATACCATTCGTTCGAGTATACGATTGGAAGCAGACGTCATTTTCTACCCAATCCGCAAAGGAATGAATATATTTATGCGTGTTTTCTATGAAATATAATTGAATATTAAAGCACATCGTAAATCAATGAGAAAAATGCATGCTAATTAAGTAGTTCTTTTTTGCTGAGTATAGTTTCTGCATGCAGCCGGAGAGACGTTTGCTCAAAAGCCGACATCCTGAAATAACTGAAGTATGATAGAATTATTCGGCACAATGATTAATTTTAGAACCCTACTTAATAAATATTTTCGAAACGAAGACGCATTTCGCAATGTCGGTTGACACTTCATGAGTTAGCCCAGCTACTGTAGTCAGTGTACACAGATCGCCACATTAGTCATGGACGAGTTTTGATATAGAGGAAAAGCGGAAAGACGCCAATAGGATAGGTCGTGTTGTGCACAGGACGCCAGTATTGGTCGCGGACGCCGGACCGCGGCCGTGAACTGGGTCTGTCCGCGTTGCTGTTCGCCAGGATGACGTGGGCATGAATGGGTAAGCATTGTGCGGAAACCGGTCAGAGTTAGACTAGCAAGGTCATTGAGCATGTTTGAGATTGGCCTGCCCAAATTCTGGATACGCGCAGGTTAGGTGATTACATGATGGCCAGCTCGGCGCGGTTGCCATAGCCGAGGGTCTTGAGGCATTTCATACAGCGACCAACACTGACAAACAAACCCGTATTTTGACAGTCGATTGTGAACCCTGAACCGCGAAGCAGATTAACAAACATTTCAAGAATAGCTTAAAAGTAAACCTTAGTTATGTGGGAAATAAGTCTCACCATCCCCAACCAGCGATTATGAAAAACAATGAGGAAGCGTTGAGAAAAAGGCAACATGCTAACGATATGTCGCAGTAGACCACCTCTGATGGTGTCTACTTCCTGAAGGATGGCTGACATAATATAAGTAGTGTTGGGTTAACAGTACCGAGCGTCGTTCATCCCCGACACATAAGCCCGACCTGGAGAGCACAACAAATCGTCGATCGAATTTGAATGCGCTCAGTTTTCAGATTTTGACACATCTCGTAAGTCTTGTGAATATTGTCCAATTCGATTCCCTGGACGCAAAACTGGAATCATCCATCAACTAACATGATTCCCGCAGATAAAATTTCAAGCCATCACTCACAGAATGCGTACTGACTCTTTTTTTCGAGAGTGTTTTTCTATAAGTTATTCAGTAAGCAGTATAACCAAACGTTTACTCAATCGTAAGTGGAAGATTGATGCCAATAGACTTGGGTGGTCTTTTCTGGTTTATTCGCTGTCTTCAGCCGAGCATACCCAGCCTCAAATGTTAGTCATTGGAGATTCGTCCGCAAGATTTTTAATCATTGGACATAACATTCTGCCAATGAACAACGGGTCGACCGTCCTCGCAATTGTTAGCGCACAATGGACTATTGGGTCAATGGCCTGACCAAACGGTTTCGTGGAATTTTTCGGAGACCAGATGCCAACCACCTTCTAACTACAAACCCATTCTACACAAACTTGACGGAGAGAAATTGCCAGGTAGGTTTCAACAATTTGCTATCTCGCTTGCGACAGGTTGCGTTTGCAATATGATCCGCAACGTGTTCATGGGAATATCTTAACCCATCCCAACAAATCTCAGATATGTCGAAATTCAGAATTTGGCAGATTATGCTGATTTTGACCCGCATTCGTCATACACATGAGAAGACCTGATGCGATCAGACGGATTCAAGTCCGGCTCTGCATTTATAATATCCATAAATCAAGTGATCTGTCAAGTGCCTGCCACAATCTGCCCCTTATTACTAACTAATTCCCCCTGTAGCATATCCTTACTCTAGGTGCCAATCCTTATCTTACCAGCAAATTCCGACCTCATCTGTCTACCTTCATATATGACCAACTGCTAAGCTTAGCAGAATACCCTAAGTTTGCCGATCGAGAGTTACTCCGACTCATAAAACGCTAGGAGACACTTTGTTTTCATTGAATCCTGGAGAATTCCTGAGCGTGTACGGCGTGAACTACAGCGTTTAGTGCAGAATATCATGTATGCCTCACACTGGATATCCTGCATTTGGACAGAACTCACAGCCCAGACGGACATCGTAGGTGACATTAAATAGACAACTCTCGTCATCATTCACACCGACTCAGATCCCCACTTTGTTAGTAGTATGCTTGAATCAAGCTAGGTGACTTCCCTGACATACCACCATGCCGCACGGACGCAGTCAAAAACAGAGTCATAATATGCGGCAGCAGATTAGGTTGGCATACTTGTATATATGGGTGCAGATTAGGATGCATGCAAGTAACAGTGGCGGCATTTGAGAGACCGGCGAAGAGGTAATAGCAGATCGGTTTTTGTTTGTATGTAGTGATATGATTGAATTGGATTCAAAAAAACGACTACGCAGATGAACGATATTAGGGCAGAGTAGATGTGTCAAATCATGAAATGTTGGCGGAAATTCTTAAATGCATTTTCGATTATAAAAGTTTTCGTAAGTTAGGCTGCACTATTAATTGTAATGCAGCATAATCTTGAGATAATTCAGTTACTCCAAAATGCTACATTTGTAACGAACCTCCTTCCGGCACTGCCAGAAATGACCGCTTATTTAATGCAAATATTTTACTCGATTGTCGGTGCTACTATAAATTTAAATCATTTCCCAGCAGACGTAAACAAATATCTACTCTTTGAATAATGTGGTAAAAAACACGTTTTCTTCAAATGTTATGCTTGGAAGGAGGGCATGTTAAGTGTTCAAGGATATTTCCGATTCCCAAATAACGTCAAACGTGACGTGAATTTACACTCGTATTCAGCGTTCCCATGCTATAGGCAGTAACCTTTCCGTGTGCGGAAAGCCATACATTTCTGCTCGCTATTGAGATGATACCATATGTTATCCACTGACGTTAGCGGTGAGTTTGAGCCATATTGTAAACTTTAAAAGGCCGAATTTCCTTAGCAGTTTTTTTCCGTATGGCATGATATAAGTTAATTCGACTCAAGTGGACAATTACGCAGGAGACCTATATTAGGAAAATTCGTATACGGTAACCTACGGTAACCCTTTATGAAACCGAAAAATACTTTCTCTTTAGGGATAAAGTCTAAAGAGGGCATACTTTTCAGCTGAACGAGTACAAGAAAAATATGTTTGCGCATGTTTTTAGAGAAGATAATTTAATTATTAAGGATATCCAAAATTAATGAAGGATAATCATGCTACTATACTAGTCATTTTTGCACGGTAGTGTTTTGCAGGGGACAGGAGAGAAGCTCCCTCTAGAGTCCTCATCCCTATCTGACTGCTGCGTCCTGGAACTATTATGTTTGCGAGCTAATACTAGAACGGTTCCTTTGTCAATTTTTCAATGTTGAAAACACATTTTGGAATTCCGGTTAACGTTTCATGAGATGGCACACTTACTGCGTCCACATGAGAACCTTATATTGTTATACTTTTATCTCGTGCCTTCATGCTGTTCCAGCAAGGTCTCGGATCAGACATTACCCTTGCGTCCGCCTTGATTATTTTTTGCCTCTGTCGTAACCGACTCAAAATCTAGTCGACTTTCGTTTAGTACACAGTCCTCGTCGCGTACGATCATCTTTTTGCGTCGTCTGTCCATCGCTCATGTTGCTGATAGGTGCTAAATGATCCAGGATGTGCAAAAAGTCTATTGAACCCTGGATCACGCATTTAGCTTGAAGCAGAGACTTCCCTTGCGCACTGCTATAAAGCAAACATTGTTTTGCGCTCTCTTCTGCCGGCGTGTCCGCGTTGTCTTGCAGCTTTGCTAGTTCTAGTCTTCAATTTTTGAGTACTCCTCTCTTACAGCTACCATTCACGGTCGGTGTACCACATTGCCTCCGTTTGTCAGTGAACTGGCATCTGAGTTGGCCAAGAAATTTGTCATTGAATGAACT